GGTGAAATGGTCACAAAGGCTCCATTGGTTCTGCTGTGAACTGCAGCAAGAAAACATGAGCTGATTTCACCTAAACAAACATCAATAACTTCCCTCATACTTCAGATAATCAGATGATTTTGGTGTTATTTTGTATGGTTTGAAATGTTCTTTTGGAATCCGCTGTCAGATTTAATATTGGTGTAGGATTAAAAATTTATCCACATCCCTATAACTTATGCATAACTTTTTAAATCGAACAGCAGCTACCATGAAATGTCATGTTTTCTCACATTTCATCAGTTTATAGTAGCTATAAGTACAAATGTTCACAAGATTCATTCAGTCACATGAGATTAATAAAAGATAAAGTAAATTTCTCCAAACTTTACTAAGGGTTGTCCAAAAACAATCAAAGTGAAACCAACATCTCAGCATCATAAGGATCATGATAACAAAACCTCCTCATTCCACTTGATTCATTAAAACCTGGCACCTAAACAAAGAGGTTAGGTAACTAAAGTGTGAGATGGAGATTAAAGAGAAGACTACCACACCTGAACAGGTTGAGATGGAATAAAACACACTAAGGCCTCGCTCCTTATAGTTCCTCTGAGCRAAGTTCTGTCCTCACAGCAGGTCTCAGAGGGTGAAGGGTACGAGTCAGAGGAGRGGGGAGACATGAGGGAACYAGGTYCAAGCATGAGTTGTCTGACTGCAGGGATTCTGACAACAGATATTAGTTTACAGAAAAGAAAACATGTTGCTGGTGTGTGTTTGTAGTGTCAAAGGATGTTGTGAACCACTGGACAGATTTTAATGAAACTTTCAGGTCATAATCATTTGACATTCCTCTACAACACATTACCAGATGGAGACAACCTAATTCAATATAGTCACCTCAGCCAACTACTGTTGGAAAATCCAAAAAATATTACTACAAATAAAACATGCAAGAAATTTTCATTCCAACCAGTTATATTTAAACTTACTAATATATTTTGTTTTATACTTTTTATTTTCTTCATACCATAGCATCATTTTAGGTTAACTTTGGAATTAAACTAAAAAGATATGACATGAAAATGACCTTGTGCAACAGTGTTTTATTCTCTGTTTACAAGCTTGACGTGTAAACAAAGTTAGAGATATCTAGTGTTTATGTTACACTTGAATAAAAATAGGAATAAAATATTTATTTCCTACCATTGGTGTCTTTATGTGAAGCTGTGAGGTGAATATTTGGCAGATTTCCTGTTTAGACCGAGCAGTAGACCACAGCTGTTTCAACTATACCTAATTAGGTGGTTTTCTTCTTCTTCTCCTTTCAGCTGCAGGAGACAGCGCCCCCAGTGGCAGCATTTGGAACGACTTGGCTTCCATTTCCTAATTTAAAAAAATAAGAAATTCTTGGATTTAACAACACTGTCTGTTCAGACTTTTTCTTTTTAAAGAAAACAATTTTTGTAGAAAATGTTGACTCTAAATGATGATCCATGAAATGGGCCACAACTGTTGGTTTTTCTGCAGCTGCTGGCTGCTGCAGTGGTCCAAAACAGCTGGCTGAGCCATCAACAACTAACTAACCTTCCTGCAACAGCAAACAGCCATCATCTTAACTGATGCTTCAGTTAATTATTTGTGTTTAATCATCTGTATTTTTAAATATTTTTTCATCAAAATTAACAGCAAATAATTAGTA